AACATGCGTGTCGTGCACGTACAATGACTTTCGAAATTGATGCCTGTTGCGTATCGGAGACACGAATTCAATATCCTAGTATCATATGTCACCTGAGTGCGCCGGGTCTGTCCTCGAGGTATTTCCTTCGTACATTAGGAGATGACGAAGCCCGCTCACTACATCAGCGTCGTGTAGGGATCGTACTAAACGAAAAAGCTGAAGCCTCGCTGATAGATTTGACATCCGTCAAAGGTCACTTCAAGTCAAGTCAAGTCAAGCTTCGGACCTCTACTCAGTTATCTCTTAAATTGTATTCATTTTCACTGCTCACGATAATTATGTTAATTGTATTCATATTTTCACTGCTCACGATAATTATGCTATAATTTTGTTCAATAATTGTTAGATGACTATGTGACTGCTGAATATCCACCTTTCGGGGTGCATAAAGCAAATACTTGACTTGACTTGACTTTTGCGCAATGAGGCTCCAGAGTTCAGTTAGTGTTCGGAAGGGCAGCAGCACCAAAAGGTGTTTGTTCATCATTTCCGCCTGTGCACCAACCAACTGCAGTCCCACTTCACAAAAGGAATAATTCTACGAAAAACTCAGCGAACGCAGCTCTATTATATGATTATTAACACCCAGGTTGGAAAACTGAGCGCATCCGAAGCGTTTCTATGAGGGCATTTCGCTCTTCTCACCCAGCAAACAGACAACGGTGGTCGCCTACTTCAAGTCTGTGCGGATCATCGGTTGTTTTATCTAGCACGAACTTTCAACACAGCTCTCGTCGAAGGACTACATGGTGTTCTAGTTCATTGGGGAAGTTGACCCAAATTGATCACATACGTATAAGGTACTCTTGGTGTGGTTCAGTACAAAATTGCAGACCCTATTGAACCACTTGCGTTGAGTTGGATCATTCACTAGTTCTGTTACGTTTAACTCTTAGAATCATCGGCAGAAATTGCCTCCTCAGTTAGCTCACTGCCGTCTGATAAATCCGTCTATCTGCGCACGTTATGAAGAGAAGTTGGGACATCTAGGAGAACCAAGACATTGTGCAGTAGACCAACAGTGGGATCAAATTAGATTCGCGATGCACCCAGCGACAAACTTTACTTGTGGGATCCCTCGCGAAGATCGCCGAGGACATTGGATCTCTGAGGAGACAGTCATCCTGATGGATCAAAAGGATCAGTATAGGGACCGGTGGCTAGTGAAATGGAGGTAGCTTGTGCATCAGGCAATTGCCAAAGACTGTTTCAACTGACGCGCAGTACCGGTCAGTGAGACCATTTGCGATAAAAGTCGACAGAGTATCTACGATAAAGAAGAATGACTTGCTCGATGGGTAGAATATTTTAGTGAACAGTTCAATTGGCCTAGTGCTGATGCGATCCAATCTATAAGGAGCTCGGCATGATGGACTCCTGACGAAGCGTCCAAATTCCGGACTTCCTATGTTTACTCAGTGGATTCTAAGCTTCCCATTTGAACGCTCAATTTTGATTTGTCTTCGTGCAGTTATTTCGACGGCAATCTTAGTGGGCTTCGGTGTCCCACAAAGTGGTACACCATCTTCCATCCTAGGCTACCTTTTAGCTTAAACTCTTAACACTCTCCATACTTTTGTAGATGATGACACCAAAGTGTTCGCATTTTTACACCACTTCTCGTGTTTGTTTCATCATCTCTCATGAACCATTTTCTGTGCACGATTCATTCAATGCAGACGTGAATGGCATCGCTGGTTTGGACACTGATAGTCTGTTCGTTCTCAGTGATGTCAAAACCCTGAGTAGTAAATTTGCAAGAATCCATTCGATTGTTCACAGGCACTGTTGATGGTCTTGGGTGTGGGTTTCACTCCTTCGGGGGATTGTTCATTCCCCACTAGTTGAATGCGTTTATAAGCGATGATGCCCGACAAAGAGCGCACTGGACAGCTGTTTCATCCTGTTTGGGACTCGTCAGCATACACTGTGTCCCTGTCAGGTCTTGAACCGCGAACATTCGGGTCGGGACTTCAAACCCTAGCTGCTGACGAGTCTCAAACAGGACGAAACAGCTTTCCAGTGTTTTTGTCGGTCATCACAAACCTTTACATCGCTGATGACAAAACCTCTTGTATGTTTGTATCGGCATGTGCTAGCTGTTTGTATTTTGACTCATCTACATCTCGTTCCTTTCATATAAGGGGCACGCGGCTTCTATGCTCCAGCCTGTTGGTGGTAGGGGCTTCTTCCAACAGTGTTCTCTCCATACCCCTCTACTGCTCCCGTGATTTTTTCCTGGTTTGTTGATTGCTAACTTCCAGCATCTGATTCGCTTTCTCACAATGATCAGCCTTATGTGTTTCGACTACACGTACAACTGACACGACCGCCTTTTGCCTCACCTCCAACAACAACGCGGAGAGAGAATATGATTTGAGACAACATCCAGTGTATTCGATGATCAAGTTTCTATACGGAAATACATTGGGTGAATCAAGTATACAACGATTCAATGACGGACCAATCAGATTGCGCCCTTGACATTCCGATTGATCGATTGGACGACCGCTGGCTGATTCGTTCTGTAGTCATCCTATCCGTACTCAGGGTTTACCTAGTGCATCGGATTTTGACACAGCTGTTTCTCATGTTCCGCTATTTGTTTTGATAAAAAACATCTTTGCCGGATGCATATGTGAAGTTTGCAAACGAAACTCGCGTGATGGTAAACACCGCTTACACATCAACTTATGCGCATGTAAATCCTATCTCTCCACTAACCCCAAATACAGACTTGTCTGCCGACAGGATCTCCTTGCTACTCTTTCCAGAATACTGGCTGATAAGGAAAAAGCACGTTCCAAGCTTTTCAGTAAATTCGCATTTCTGCATTCAATGTTCCATTTTTATCTTGTGTTGCCACTGTTGCATCGGTGGTTCCTTTTGGGTGAATGTTTGTGCATAACTCGCTCAGAGCTAATTACCGATACAGATTATACAAATCGACTTGGCCTCCAGTTTTCCTCTTCCACACATTGATCCCATGTTGTCCAGGAAGATTTCCCAGCCACACCGCGCGAAACGGTTTCTCTCGCCCTCTCAGCTTCTCTCTTGACGAGGTCCAAATACGTGCCGCCTTGGACGACCGCTGCTATTCCAAGGGCGCCGGCTCCTCTCCTCGTTCGTCACTGATCTGACGTTAACTGCTAGTTTGCGGCCACACGACATGTCCCGTATCTACAGTTACTACCGCGGACTGTTTTCGCTGTAGGGCTTGCCGGTTTCGTCCTTCGTTCAGGTTTCAATTCATTTTATTGAGCATACAAAGATACAACTTTCAGGACGGGGGTAGTTTCCAATCAAAGGGCTGCCATACAACACATAATGGAGAAAGACAGGCGGTGGTGATGGGATTCAAACACTCGTCCTCCGAAGTGATAATAGGTGACGTTACCACCGGATCACCCGAACACACGCATCGAATCAACTTTACCAGACGACTTGAAAAGACTAGAGCAGCGGAATTCAAAACAGAACTTAGTCCAGGGGAGACCGAAATGTGGAACAACCTTTCTTACTCCGATTGATTACCATCGCCCCCCCCCCACTATATAATATTTTATATTCAATCTACGTGTTTTACTATCCCCCTTCCCCCATCCCCGTCGCACGGTAATCTTTGTGATCAACAGGTTGATCTCGATACCGTAAATCACGTTTGCATTCCTCATTTGTCTGTTGAACAAGACCCAGTTTGCAGATCTTCGCGATCGAATTTTTGTCACACTGTGCTGCGGTACAAGTATTGCATCAGACAGCAAGACCGAAAGGAGTAATAAATCACGTATATGTACCGATCCAAGGGAGCACAATTGTACAAGGTTGTGAAAAACGTTACAAAAGAAGATTCTGAGCAACCGAATGCAAAAGATGGAACCATGCATGATGAAAGGAATCTGATGGACAAAACGCAATCCCGAAGCGTGGGGTGGGGTGGAGGAAGCAGTTACCGGTATCGAAGAGACAGAGAGTATGGAATGAGGAATACATACAAATAAAAATCGGAGAAATTACAGTGCTCCCAAATCAGAATATCTTTCTTTAAAACCGACCACACGTGAGTTTGTGAGTGAAAATAACAGAGAGCAGTTCAGGATGACAAAGAGGAGTAAAATTTAAGCAGCCCAAGCAGAGAGGCTGCTGAAAACACAATGCAGCTATCGACTAAATCAGGTTGCCTGAAATAACATATCACAAGGTTTGTCTATTTCTTTTGCAATCCAGGCGCACCAGACCCGGGTCAACAATTCGAGTCATGTACAGACGTGTGCACACACAGATCGGGGGCGGAGACGTGCCAATCAAGGCGAGAGATAGCTAGTCAAATGAAAGGTAGGTACACAGATCATAGGAAGTCAGAATAAAGACGCCTAGAAGTACAAGGATCACGCGTGATTGCGAAAAGAGGCGAATTATCATCAAAGAGACGAGACAACGCACCCAGATTGAAATGACACGTGCGGGCGGCGGTCAAACGGCCAGCGTTAGAGAAACGGGATTTTGCGAACACATGGGACCCCTCGTGAGCAATGATTGTCTGGGGGGGGGGAGAGGGAGTTTGTGGGAAAGTGAACTTCAAAGACACTAGACAAAGGGAACTGAAAGATATCATCAAACTAAGAGACGAGTTTGTGTTTTTTATCCGCCGCTTAGGGGGACCGTAGAAATCACAAAGAGCATTGCTAGATTAGGTGGGCTGTGATGTCAATAACAAACATGAAGCTATGGTTATAATAATTCTGGACAGCAATAAAAGAGAGTTCGGAAATACTATTGGCCCAATCAGATAGGAGATCGCTTGGTACAGTATCAAAGATTGATCGGTTCTGGTTTGATCTTAACTGGAGAAATTGAGTGGACGCTGCTTGAAGACGAGTCCGTTGTCGTTTCTTTGTCGGTGTTTTCCATGGAATCAAGTGCCTTGTAATCGCTCAAAAATTGGCGGGCCATTCGAGTGGTCACTCGATGTGTCTTGCTTAGACCTAAGGCGTAGCGTCTCCATTTATCCTGAAGAAGAGAAACAGATAAAACTAACTGAATTTGAAAGCAAACAATAATTAATAAAAGAACATATTAATAGACCAACAATGTGGTTTTTAGAACAGCACACTTTAGAGGTGATTCATTATCACGAACAAATGACAAAACGAATCGTCGTGTTTCGTGATAAACAAAAGAGCAACAAACGAAATTGAACAATGGTCATCGTCTGAGACTTATTGCGCCACAAATGTGCAAAACAGACTTTACAGTACCTAACCTAGTGTGGCTAGAGCCTGCGGTCTCCGACAGTTTCCCTTGCTTATTCAGTGAACATTTCTCCCGAAGGGCCCGAACAGTCGGTATCTCTACGATAGGCCGACCGCCTAGCCATCCGGAACGTCCAACTGATCAATGCAAGAAGCTTACTGAACAGTAGAGTAAGATCATTCTTTCATCTATATTTCGCCTACCCAAATGAACGCCTCGTCCGGTTAAGCTAACGGTAGAGTAGAACTGCTCCCGCGAAACAGTTCGTCACTTATAATACACCGATGGTATCGCCTTGTTGGGTGACAATACGCAGACAGTCTGACAAGCTTTTAACCACTTGGTGATCTAGATATGATATGTGCTTGCACCATCCAAGTGCAAAGTGTTGGTTCAATGAAGTTACTTAGCAAAAATTGCCTTCCGTGAAACAAACGATGATGATTATTCATGTGACATAACGGATTTGAAGTAGGCAAAAACGATCCCCTTGTGATAATGCTCGTGCGGGAGGCGATGAACAGAACAGGCTCAATATTTGATCTATCAACCGGCAACCCACAGTTCGGTAACACGATTGGATAAGAATGATCGGGAAAATGTATACGCTCAAAAATTAGCAAATTTGTCGAAAAACCAATAGCAGAAAAGCATCTATTGTGCTAACTTCAAATGTGTTTTAAATTACCCACGGGGACTAGACGTCACAAAAAGGGACAAGACTGGACGACTTTTATGGGCAATTTTCATCCGAGTTAGAATGTTATGTACTTCATACGTTGGTCGGGCTCCTTAAAAATGTCCAAATGAAGAGGAACTCATAAACCGAACGAATAAAAAACCGTCAGTCGCATATTCTGATGAGACTATCCCCAAAACGAACTGATATTTATCTTAACCCTTGGTTTATGTTCAGTACAATTTCAACAACCACCGGAAGTAAGTACAGTACGCACGTACGGACAGAACGATTGTATAAATCCGCCGGAAATTACAATTCCAAGGGGAAAATTCAGTGTTACTTTCATGAACCGAATTCACTGACGCAGTCTGGCAATGATCAGCAAAATCTTCCCGTTATGATGAAGATAATGTCACAGAAGGAACAAGTCGTATCCTTAAGATTTACTATCTTGTCCCAAACGGTGGGTGACCCAAGTGTGTAAGTGAGCTTGCCAAATCATAAAAAGCTAATCTTGTATTCTCAAAAAAAAAACAATCTCTTATTCGTTAGTAAACAGTTCATGAAAAACTGATTACATAACAGTAAACAGTTTTTCGCAGACATTTTGACCGGCAAAAATACAATTGCTTAGACTATTCACGGTCGCTTTAAGAGATCATGTTCCCTTCAGCGAGAAGAAAAATGCAAATGACTGATTTTCAAAGAATTTTTCCGTCAGTCTATTCGCCTGAAACCATTTTAATGTCTTCGTGAAGGAACTCGAAAAATCCCCGAAAGGGGGAAAAAATGAGACCATTGCACACTTTGTCCCCACTTACCTCGTATCCGACTTGAACTACACGTCTAGTTGACAAGTGTGGCTGTTGCCTGGGAGGGACTTGCAATCCAACAACCGGTGGGAGGGGTTCGCGAGGGAGATATTGTTGTGCTGTACCAAAAACACCAGCGCTAGTATCCGTGCCGGTCAATGGAAAGACTGCATCCGAGGCACTGATGGGCAATTGATCAAACGTGCTCAATTGGGAATTTTTAAGAGCAGGCATATTAGGGGCAGGATTGGGGATGGGATTGAGAGCCTTGCTCCACACAGTGGCT